TGGGCAGCATTGGGTTGGGATGTTTTCATGATGCACATTTTCTTTACATAAAACTCTCTCTTACACGTGAGTTGCTGTGGATTTGTTTCTCCAAAGTACCCAGACTAATACAGCCATGGAGGCCAGTGGGAGCCCAAAAGTATCTAGCAGATTAAAAATATCTAGACCAGCAGAGTATCTAGTCAGATTAAACCTCTGACAGATCCCCACTAGCCATAGGGAAGGGTCGTGAACAGTTTTACAATCAGATGGGGATCACTGTAAACTTGATTATGCTGGCTGGATCGAACTTGATACTTGGTCCGTTGACCTCCCTCTTGGCTCAACCTGTATTAGTTCTAGGCTCAAGTATTTCTTGCTTGCTGCATGATAAAAATTTCTTCCTTGGCTTTTTAATTATTGATGGTGCTCTTTTCTTTCTTACTCTTTATTTGTATTTTTATCTTTATATTATTATTACTACTTTAGCCATGCCATTTTATTTTGTCTGTTTTTTATTTTTTCTGTTGGGTTCTCCAGTTGGGGAAGCCCAGAAAGAGTAGCTGCATACAGATAATAACTGATGCACTGATTTATCGGGGATGTGGGGGTAGAGGTGGGGGGAAGGGAGGGTGAGGGGATTGAGAGAGCAAACAATAAATGCGGGAGGGGGGAGGGAGAACTGGAACTGATTGTGATGACGCATATACAACTTTTTAAAAGCAATTTAACCAAGGAAGTGTATTATCTGTGAATGCTCTCTCAAGAAAATCACCAAAAAAAGAGAAAATCACAAAAAACGTGACCGATGGTTCCCACAGGTGAAGGGGAAGAGTTGTTGCGTAGGGCACTGAGCGTATGTCAACGGTGGCAGAATGATTTGGAGAAGGGTCTCAATAATGGCTGTACAGCACAAAGAGTGTAGTCCACAGCACGGAATTATACAGGCAGAAGCGATGGAACTGGAGAATGTTCTGTTGTCTGTATTTTTGCCACAACTAGAAAAAAATGATAGTTACATGAATAACAAGGATGACAAGGTAGAAGAACATGTTCTAGAATTGAATATGGTGATACTTGTACAACCCCACTTGAATGGTATGACATGTGGGTGAAGTGTTAATAAAATTGTTAAAAAGAAAAAAAAGATGTACAGTCTCCACACCCCACAGGGACAGTTCTACTTTGTTCTAAATGCTTGCTCTGAGTAGGCTGCGAATCAATGGCAGCGAGTTTGTTGCTGTTTGTGTTCGTCTGAGTAGACTGGAGAAACCAGTCCATAGACACTCACATGTTATAAGAAAGAGCTTTATATACAAGAGCAATTGAATTTTGAGAAAACATCCCAGCCCAGTCCAGATCAAGTCCATAAGTCTGATATTAGCCCATATGTCCGATACCAATCTATAAAGTCCTCTTCAGACTCAAGAAACACATGCAATAACACGGAATGCAAGAAGATCACAGGCCAGTGGGTGGGAAGTCTTATGGACCCAGTGGCAGTGGAAGCATCTCAGCGCTGACAGGGGTCTCCACATGGATTCTCTGGCTCCAGGTCTGGCTCCTTCAGTTTCTCTCCATGTGTCTTCTCCACAGGGATGTCTCACAGGGAGTGAGCATGTGTCCCCCCTCCAGCGAGCTATTTATCTCCTTAGAACCTCCAAATGAGGTCATCAGGCTACTACCTGATTGACAGGCTAAACTCCACCCCTTCACTCCTCTCAAATTGGCAAGCAATTATATAACAACCACACTGTTGTTTTTATAGTTTGTAGAAATGCACCGTCGGGGCCAGGGTGCAGTTCCCCCAGGCCTTGTAAAACCTGAAATCTTAAGGAAACCCCACGGTGTCAAAGGCATACGACTCCAATGAGAGAGGACCGCGCAGGGCCGTGCTTCTCTCTGCGTCTAACTCGATTCCGTAAGACAAGAGCACGGAGGTGGGCTGTGCGCTCAGGCGCGTCCTTTCCCGGCCTGGCCTCACGCTGTGCTCAACTGCGGCCGTCCAGTCCCCTCCAGCTCATGACCCTCAGGTTTCACAGAGAAAACCGGTGCCTCCCTCCGTGCCTTCTTTGGGCTTGTTGTCCTGAGTCCCCGCCATGGCCACTGTGTCACATCACCTCCGGGAAGGTGTCCCCGGATTTTACTCTTCGCCTCCACTTTACCAAACGTGACTTCCCTCTCCCGGGACCGGCCCCTCTCGAAGGATCCGTCCCAAACAAGCCGGTCGCAGTGCGGGACAACATTTTGCCTACCATAGGGGATCCACGGGCTGGTTCTGAAAGCAGAGAGCCGAGCCTCTGCAGTCTGTCTTGGTCTGGAAACGCCACAGAAACCAGCCTGCTCCAGGGGACCCTGCAGGTCTTTGAAGTACAGTGGCACAGCCGCCCGTACCACGGAAACACGTAAGCCAACACAGCACGCAAACTGGAGAGACGGGTGATAGAGCAACAGCTACTTTCCAGACATCTCGTTCTGATACCTTGGGACAAAGGCAACAAAGGCAACGAAACCCTCCACATTCCTATTTGACAACGGAAGACACTGCAGTGACCTCGGAGCAGATTCCTGTTGGACCACAGGCGCCTGTGTGTTAGTGCCGACATTCCGACAACTGGCTGTGTCCCCTCAGTTACACCCGTCCCTTGCATCAAATCAGACAGTCTTCTTACCCCGAAGGGCACAGACAATGGGAAGCACATACGTGCCCGTGGAGAAAAGGGTCCGTATTGGTGGGGACTGACAGACTGCTGTCAGCTCCGTGTGCGCTGCTGGCGGGGGTGGGGGGTGGGGGGTGGTGGTGGTGGTGTTTGGAACTGTGTCACAACGGTGACTTCTACTAGAATTCACTTCCTGACACGTGATGGGGACGCTTTTAATTTGTCCTGGGAACGCTGCCCAGATATCACAGATGCTATCATCTTTCTTTCAAGGTGCCTGAGGGGAGCTTGCATAGCGTTACTCAAACACGGGGCAGGAACCCTAGTGGCGTAGTGGGTTTCTCATTGGGCAGCAGTTCGAAACCACCAACCATTGCACAGGAGAAAAATGAGGCTTTCTACTCCTGTAAAGAGTTACAGTCTCGTAAACCGCCAGGGGCCGCTTGGCCCTGTCCTATAGGGTTGCTGTGGGTCAGAATTGGTTGCGTGGCAGTGCCTTTGATTTACTATGAGGCTGAAAGGCACTCTTGGTGAGGCAGTGGGTTTTTCCCTGAGCTGCTAACCACAAGGTCAGCAGTTCGAACCCACCAGCTGCTTGGCTGGAGAAAGATGAGGGTGTCTAATCCAGTAAGGATTTGGAAGTCTCAGTAACCCAAAGGCACAGTTCTACTCTGTCCTACAGGGTCAGGATGAGCCGGAATGGACTTGGTGGTGGTGGCGGAGACTGAGGCTGAGGGAACCCAGGCTCCAGGCTTCATGCAGCTGCAAGTGCAGTGAGAGAAGGACAAGCAGATCCCCACTTTCCAGAGGGGGCGGCGAGTTGCCAGGAGAAGCCAGGCCCACGGTGATAGGGGACACGTCCCCCTCCCGGTGCTGGGGGATCCCAACAAGGGCAAAGCCATCAGGTGGGGTGGTTGGAAAAGGCACCTCCGAGGGCTGATTCCTAAGGGGCCAGTATTAAAGCGGAAGCATCTCTGGTTCAATTCCCATCACTCGAGCGAGGAAGCAAGCTTCTGACCCTGCTTGTCTGAGGACTGGGCCCCCGCACAGCCTGGCGTTTCACCTGGGCTCCGGGAGGGAATAAAGAGGAAAGAAGGAGCACAGGGCAGGAATACAAAACTCCACCCAAGGCAGCTCCCGCCCCCCACCGCCCGCAGCCGCTGGAGCTGGCCGGCCGAGAGCTGGGCCCTGGGAATTCTCCCAGTGATGGAACGAGGACCAGCCTGCGATCGCTTCCTGGACACAGGAGGTAAAACCTACACCACGACTGTCTTCTCTCTTCATTTAGCAATTGGATCTGGGGAAGCAGTCTTCTTTGAACCTGTCAGTCAAGTGCCACCCCATGCCAGGTGAAAAATCCCTGGGTCCCTGTGCATTCCGGGGAAACTCAGTTGTAGTCCTACGGGCTCCCTGAGAGACCCGGCCACATGGAAAGCACCAAATGTCGGCAGGATGTCTCAGGGCCTCCTTCCACCTTCCGGGAGGAACCACACTCCTGCCAGCAACGCCTGCCTCCCAGGGGATCTCAATCCCCAACCCCGCCCGTGCCCGTGCCGAGAACTGGAAAGGAAGTGTAAGTCAGTACCTTAGATTGCCCTCCAGGGTCTCCTCATCTGAGGAGAGGGTCCCATTGCTGACACTCTGGCGGGCGGAACGCTTCTTCCCCGAAGATTCCTCCCCGGACAGGGGTGCGTCTTTCTTTTTCCTCTTGGCAAACAATCTCTTGAAAGGCTGGAATTTGCCTCCCTTCTTCTTGTCTGTGAATTACAAGATAAACAGACCTGTCCTTGGAAAGGGCCGAACCTCAGAGCCTAACAGTAAATTACAGCTGAGTTGCCTCGGGCCAAAGGGCAGTTCTTGGCTGGAAAGAGCCACCAAGCCCTGCCCTGGGGACTCGGGGACTGCGAGATGATACCACCCAGGCCCGCCAGGCAGAATCCAAGCCAAGGGCTCAGGGAGTCTTCTGTCCCCTGGGCTCCAAATAATGTCTGGGGGGAAAAGAAGGCCCCAGTCTCAAGGTGGCCTGCGTAGCCAAGTCCCACCCCCCTCCACGCCCCCTCCCTGCACATGCCACTAAAAGGTGGTGCCTGCTTTCATTAACAAAGCAGGTGGCCAATGCTCCTTTTCACGGAAGAAGCTGAGAAAAAGATGCAAGTCAGACAAGTGTTTAAAAATGTGTGTGTGTGTATATATGTGTATGTGCATGCATATCTACCCTGTTTTTCTGAAAATCAGACAGTGTCTTATATTAATTTTTCCTCCCAAAGATGCGCTAGGCCTTATTTTTAGGGGATGTCTTATTTTTCCATGAAGAAGAATACGGTACACATTTAGTGTTTATTGTTTTATTAAAAGAGACCTCGCGCTTCCTGTCTGCTCCGGCTGCGCTGCGGCCAACAGTGAGCTGTGCAGCGGTGCCCGCCGCTACAGTCCAGAGTCCAGAGTTACGGTAGCTTTGGGGGGCCTTATTTTCGGGAAGGTCTTATTTTCAGGGGGATCTTACTTTCAGGGGATGCCTTATATTTCAGCGAGAGGCAAAACTGTAGGTAGGTCTTATTTTCGGGGGATGTCTTACTTTCGGGGAAACAGGGTATCTATCTATAAATCTATCCTCTCTCTCTCCTTTTGCCTTTATTAAGCACAGAAGATAACAACTCCTGGCATAAGTTTTTGACCCCGATTCTCTCCATCCCCATAACTTTCAACTTTACTTCTCTTGTTGCTTCCAAATCTACAGTGAAGAGCCCCCAAGGAGTTGCTCCGAACACCGTGGAATACATGACGTCATCTAGTCAGATCTTGGCTGGCTGCCAGTATTCCCTGGTGGGCGTTTAGGTAACGCCTTTCTCTCCTGCTCCTTCAGACACAAGTCCTTCCCGTCACTACCCGCCTCCGCAGAAAATAAGGTGTACATCACCCTCGGTGATCTAAGAAGCATCTTCTTAGACCGTTCCTTTTTCGTCAAGAAGCATCACATACAAGCCCCCAGCCCCCCTGCCCTGTAAAAAGAAACTGAAGAGTGGGCTACACGTTGGGCTGCTAATGGCAAGGTCAGCAGTTCGAAACCACTCAAAGCTCCTCGGGAGAACAAGACATGCTCTCTATTCCAGCAGAGATGTGCAGCTTCGGAAACCCTCAGGGGAAGTTCTCCTCTGCCCTCTAGGGTCGCTGTGAGTGTGATTCTCCGGGATGGCAGTTGAGTTTGTGCTGATGTCCCTTACTAGGAGCTCTGGTGGCAGAAACGCTTAGGTATCAGCCTGCTAAATGCAAAGCCACCAGTTCAACTCCACCAGTTGCTCTGGGGGAGAAAGAGGAGGCTGTCTGCTCCCACAGAGATCGGCAGCCTCAGAAACGCAAAGGGGAGGTTCTACTCTGTCCTAAAGGTACAGATAGGGTCATTATGAGTCAGAAAAGGCTCAATGGCAGTTGTGTGTCTTTTAAAATGTGCCCTCTCTCTGGAAAAGAGTCATGCTTCATAAAGCAGAGGGTAAACAAACAAGGACAGAGACCCTCGAAGAGATGGATCCACACAGGGACCGCAACAATGGCTCAAACCTAACCACTGTGAGCATGGTGCAGGACGGGCAGTGCTGTGTTCTGTTATACCCGGGGCCACCAGGTGCTGGAGCTGACACCGTGGCACCTGACAGCATGTCACAAGAGAAGGTCCTTGCTGCTTGAGTGACCTAAAGGTTGGCAGTTTGAACGTACCTGTGGTGCTGCAGCAGAATGTCCTGGTGAGCAGTTTCTATAAACAGTGTTGCTGTTGTTGTTAGGTGCCATCTAGCTGGCTCTGACTCACGCGAACAATGGAATAAAATGCTACTCAATCCTGCACCATCCTCACAATTGTTGCAGCCATTGTGTCAATCCATCTCCCCTTCACTGCCCCTCTACCCATGATGTCCTCCTCCAAGGACTGGTCTCTCCAGAGACCATGTCCAACATATACAAGAGGAAGTCTCGCCATCCTTGCCTCGAAGGAGCACTCTGACCATACTTCTTCCAGGACCGATCTCTTTGTTCTTCTAACACTCCATGGCATTTTCAATATTCTTCTCCAGCACCACAGTTCAAATGCACTTGTCTGACAGTTTGTCATCCTGTGGGGACTCGGAGGCTGGAAGCGATGTCACTGGCATTTCAAATGGCCACAGGGTCACCCACAGGGAACAGGTTTCAGCAGAGCTTCCAGACTAAGAACAGACAAGGAAGAAGGAATCGGCTCCCCACGTCACAGGAAGTAGCCTCTGAAAACCTGTGAAGATTAGCACCAACCAAAGCCAACAGCGCAGGGGTACCCTGCTGTAACACACGGGATTGCCTCTACGTTTGTTTGTACCAAGGGATTCCTGGGTGGCATAACTAGCTAAGTTCCAGGCTAACTTACTCTAAGGTTGGCAGTTCAAATCCATCCAGAGGCATTTCAGAAGCAGTCTTCCAAAAGGTCACAACCCTGAGAGCCCTCTGGAGTACAGTTCCCCGCTGTACCACATGGGGTTGCCACGGCCAGAATCAACTCAATGGTAACTGGTGTTCCGGTCTGAACCACACCGACACCTAAACCCCGTCACTGCCATCAAGTCTGTCCGACTTAGCACCCAGGAGCCCGGTGCAAAGTCAGCAGTTCGAAACCAGCAGCTGCTCCATGGGAGAAAGAGGAGGCGTTCTACTCGCACGAAGAGGGAGCTCGTTTCCGCTACACGTTTCCTTCAGTTCTGTCCTGACGAGGGCCGATTTAAAAACACTGAAGCGGGGAAGAAGTGGTTCCCACCACTCCACCTCAAGCCGGGAGCAAGGTGGTGAGGAAGCAGGCAGAACAACGTGCCACTACACACGGACAAACGTCTGGGGTTTTAATCTAGGTGCACACAGACCTTCAAACGAAAAACAAAATCAAACTCGCTGCCACCGAGTCAATTCCGACTCCTAGCAGACCCAAGAGTTCAGGATAGAACTGCCCATCTGCATTTCCAAACTGTGCATCTTTACAGGAGTAAAACGTCTCCTCTGCCTCCCGTGCAGCAGCTGGCGGTAACCCACACCACCACCAGGGCTCCTGTCCTTCGAACAACGCTGAATTTTACAGCATTCATACGGAAAGGGTGTTTTTAGCAGAGCAGTTGTCTCCTACGTACAATGCACTGTGCTAGGTAATGTATTTACTGACGGGGCAAAGAGCCATCAGTGCCCTAAGGTCAAGGTGGATTTGGTGATTTTCACTTGAGCAGGAGCCAAGGGAGTTAACCCAAAATAAACAGAAATGAAATGACGGATTCTTGAGCAGTTTGTGTATTTAACCGACAGGTGCCCCGGTCACGACGTGGGATGCTAACAAGGCTAAGGTAGTCCGTGGCATTGTCTTCGAGGCCCAGCGGTTTGTATTGGGCAATGCTGGGGAGGAACAGGAAATAAAGAGGACCCGGAAGGGGTTGAATACAAACACCAGGGTAGGAAGAGGACAGGCTCAGGGAGGATGCTGGGCTACGGAAGTGGGTGGGTTTCCACAGCACAACATGACCTTCTTCAGGCCCCCTCCAACATGGGGTGGATCTGTCTGAAGGTTGCTTGTGACTCTGCTGATCTAGCACTTGGTGCTGCCCAGGAGGACTGCACGTTTTTATGGGCAGTAACTTGGCATGGGTACACACACATGGCTCCTGGAAGACATGCCAAAGTCCAAATGTCAGGCAGAGCCTATCTAGTGAATCAGGAATGCTGTTTCAGCAATGCCCTAGTGATTACCAGGAAGGTAAAAGACCTGGTAAAACCACTCCCAATTCTCACACACGCATCAACCAGCAACACTCCATTACCATGAATTAGAATGAGTCTAAGACCTTTAAAACATAAGCGTCCCTCTGCAGAGGAGAGCGTCAGAAGTCTGCCCCACAGTCTGTCTTCTGGGTGATCTCTCAGGCTTGAAAAAGATTCTCCACTTCCTCTACTCCAAAATCAACAACATCTTTCAGTTTTAAAATGAGATTTGAGAGTTTTTGACCATTTTATGACCCAATGCTGGTGGCAACTGGCTAATTCACAGGGATTAACTTCCTGAAAAGACTCAGTAACTACATTTAGACCCACATGAGAATTAGACAGGAAGACTTAATTAAAGGAAATTAATAGGAAATGAAGGTTTAGAAATCACAGGAGGATTTTTTTTCTCTTTTATTTATTTGATTCCCCAGTTTTACTCTCCAAGTTCATCCTGGTCTCATACATCCAAAAAGCAAGTACCTGAGCTAGGACTTTAGAACTCTGTTCTTCTGAGGGGCACAACATCCTTTGTAAGCCACAGCGGAGGATCCAACTTGGAACTCCCACTAAGTGAACCGGACATTATCTTAAACATACCAGAAACACTCCCCTAGGCCTAAGGAGGAAATGCCCCAGGGGGAGAAACGGCAGACGACTACTATCCCAAGGATATGGACATGGAAGTCATTGGATGTTGGTTCAGAATTCATGTCTGAAGGATGTGCAATGAATCCCAGTTCGTGACTACCATCTATGTGTTATTTCTATCTCCTCTTTGCCTTCCTGTGATATGTTTAGTCCAGTTCTACCTTTATGAATGAACATTATTGAAAGTGTTGCCCTATCTCTAACCCTCATCGTTTGTATAAATAGCGCCCAGTTCCTAAGTTGTGTACAAATCAACAATCTATGTAAAAATCAGCCCTATACCTATACACTTGCTTTTTGTCGACAATATTTACCTTTTGGCTAAGTTAATGGTAATATCAATAGAACT